CTTGGGCTTCAGACAAGGCTCACAAGTGTAAAACAGGCTCAGTATCACACTGAAATGTAAGTACAGTACTTATATTCCAATGGATTTATTTTATAATTATATGGTAAACATGAGAAAGCAAGCAATTTTTCAGTAATAGTGTGCTGTGACACTTTTGTATTTTTATGTCTGATTTTGTAAGCAAGTAATTTTGAAGTGAGGTGAAACTGGGGGTACTTAAGACAAATCAGACTCCTGAAAGGGGTACAATCATCTGGAAAGGTTCAGAACCACTGCTCCAGACTGTTAATAGCTTATGGAGACTGGATGAGAGGTCACACCATTTCAACATAAAGACTTTTTAACTGGATTTTTACTTGTATGGGTCTGTGCTATGAATTAGCTAACATAGATCCACAATGGGAGTGAGAATGCACTCTGTGAGAGTGCAAGCAGCTTCTCTTACTTCTTTGAGAAATGTTCTAATACTAAAAATATGTAGGGCACCTACCTGTGTTCAGTGCACATGTTCATCCAGCATTACACCATAGTGGTAATGTCAAGGCCTGATGTTCATTTTGGTGGGGCTGTCCTAAAATAATCGTTTAGGTAGAATTCCAGTACCCACCTCCTGTAATCTAGGTCACTGCTTGTGAGTCACCATTAGTAGAGTATATATATATTGACAAGTACTCGAAGAAGAAACTATTAGTTCTCTTACAGTAATTGGTTCTTCAGAATGTGTTCTCTCTATATATTTGATGACCCATCCTCCTTCCCTGTTACTGTGGAGTCTGATAACACCTGGATTCTGGTGAAGGATACTGGAGAAGGAATTGTGGGGTGGTTGGGATGTCCCACCTTTAATGCCCTCATTTGGAGGCATAAGGACACTGAGGGTGCAGACACAACTTCCAATGGATACTGTTGGCCAAAATAATCTGAACTCAAGCTGTTGGGCGTATGTGCACCAGTAAAGGAGCATAGATGGACGACACATCTCCAAGAACCTACAATTATTGTAAATTGAGTAATCTTTCCTTCTAGTATCCTGATACCAACATCTAAGGTGGCACTGGTGATACTATCTAAACCTAAGAACCATGCTGCCCTTGGTACCAACCCTAACACAGAGTGCTACTCTGCACTCAGTGCTCCTCCCATACACTGACTACATGTGTGGAGGGTACCCTCCACCTCCGTACAGACTACCTCTATGATACTTGTTGTGTTAGTACTGGCTATCTCTGCACCAAAACAGTATATTGTACCGAGCAACTTGTCAAAGGGTCTGGAACCGAAGTAATTGGTGCTGGAAAGGCTCAGAGAGGTTGTTGCAATGCTCCCAGCCATAGAGTCACCGAGCTTGCCAGGAAAGGTGTCTCCTATACCAACCTCCCCTTTTCACAGGCAAGGTACTCTGGACAGGATTGCCCTTCCATTAGAAGAAGTATACTCTTTTTCCTCTTCTGCTGAGTGCGTCAGAGAATTATTCCCTGTACATTCTCAATCTACCCCCGTGGGCAGCTCAGTGGGAGCCAAGGAGTGATTCCAGGGAAGATTGAGAGTTGGTAGAAAGAAGTTAGAGCCTTACAGGGACCCCACCATTTTTTGTATCCCCTGAGCTGTGCTCCAGCACACTATTCTTACCAGTAATAGCTGTGGCCATGCTGGACCCCCTGGGGTGTTCAGCCCTACTCCTGGAAGCCACCTTCATCCATTGTGTATAGGTCTAGATCTCCCTCACCTAAGAGGCAGATTAAGCCTCCTCAGTCACCTCAGCTGCTTGAACCTTCAGCTACTTGAGAGGCGAGAGGAATAACAATTTCTAGGGAAAGAGTGTCTAGTTCTGGCTGCAGTATCCTCATTTTCTCCTCACAAGCCAGAGAGCTCACATACATTGGCATCTGTGGGCATATTTAAGGTTTTCCAGCACTTAATAAAGTGGATTGTATGAATCTTAAACATTCTCCTGAAAGCTGTTCATGAGGAAAACCACAATCTCTTGGACATACTGCACTTGTCAACTCCAGGGAGGTTAGCCATGCCAATACATGATAGTCTGCTGGAACCTGCTAAATCCATCTAGCGTACTCTGGCTTCTGTTTCTGTCACATGCAAAAGAGCAGATAGGAGATATTGAGTGTGCAAGAAGGGATCTGAATATTTTACACTCATCCTGTAGCCATCTTTCTTGTGCAAGCAGTACAAGAGAGAACGAAATAGCAGGGACCACTAAAATGGATCCAATTTAGTGGTCCCTGTGGGGGAAAAAAATTCCCTCCAAACTGGTTCTTTTTGGCCAGATGGTATACTAGTCTGCAAGCCTTCAGATGACAGTAACAAATTATCAAGTGCTGCTCTCTACATAGGACTTTTTAGATGGGGGCGCAAACTGTCTAATTGCATTGATAAATTGCCCAAGAAGCACCAGGCATTCTCTAATGTCTAAAGTCCCTAATGGCTGAAGGTCAGCCAAGTACACACACAACTTTGCAGACTTTGCTGGATGCCTCAGCAGCATGTACAATGACTACAGCAATAGAGTCGTCATGGCTTCAATCATCCCCTAGAGAGGTCCAGGCAACAATTGAGGACCTCCCAGTTGAAGGTAATGAACTCTTCAGCAGTGGCACTGACAAAGCCCTCTGTACTTCAAGAGATTCCTGGGCAGCTCTGGTCTTTTTAGTGCTTGAGGTTTCTGAGTCTTAAGAGGAAACAGTTGAGACAATTCTACGATTAGCCACTGAGATATTCGGAGCTACCGAGGAAGAAGCAGAGATTCTACAGGAGGTGACCTTTTGCTGCCTCCTTAGCTGCCCTGCTGTCTGGGACTTCAGATAGGTTCCTGACAAAGGTAGTAAGCCTGCCTATTTGAAGTCTCCATGTTGGACACAGAGAGTATGAAGATCACGGTTGCCAAAGGAGGGGGAATGGTTTAAAACAAAAAGGTTCAAGGGCAGGGCTTTTATTCCCACTACTTTTTAATCTTTTTTTAAAAAAAAGGGTGGGGAAGGGGGGTTGAAAGCCAATCCTCGACCTTTGTCTCAAAATCTTCATCCACTTCTCCAGATTCTGAATGATGATCCTAACTTCTGTAATCCCTTCATTTGATCCTCAGGACTGGTTTGCAGTTCTTGACCTGCAAGATGCCTCCTGTCATGTTTCATATCTTCACAGTCAAGCTGAAAGGGCATATCAAGTGGGGTCCTGCAAGGATCAGTTCTGGGTCTGGTTGTGTTCAGTATCTTCATCAGTGATTTAGATAATGGCACAGAGAGTACACTTATAAAGTTTGCAGACGATACCAAGCTGGGAGGGGTTGCAAGTGCTTTGGAGGATAGGATTAAAATTCAAAATGATCTGGACAAACTGGAGAAATGGTCTGAAGTAAATAGGATGAAATTCAATAAGGAAAAATGCAAAGTGATCCACTTAGAAAGGAACAATCAGTTGCACACCTACAAAATGGCAAATGACTGACTAGGAAGGAGTACTGCAGAAAGGGAGCTGGGGGTCACAGTGAATCACAAGCTAAATATGAGTCACTAGTGTAACACTGTTCCAAAAAAAGCAAACATCATTCTGGGATGTATTTTGCAGGTGTGTTTTAAGCCAGACATGAGAAGTAATTCTTCCACTCTACTGTACGCTGACTAGGCCTCAACTGAAGTATTGTGTCCAGTTCTGGGTGCCACATTTCAGGAAAGATGTGGCCAAATTGGAGAAAGTCCAGAGAAGAACAACAAAAATGGTTAAAGGTCTAGAAAACATGACCTATGAGGGAAGATTGGAAAAAAAAATCGGTTTGTTTAGTCTGGAGAAGAGAAGACTGAGGGAGGACATAACAGTTTTTAAGTACATAAAAGATGGTTACAAGGAGGGAGGAGAAAAATTGTTCTCTTCAACCTCTGAGGACAGAACAAGAAGCAATGAGCTTAAATTGCAGCAAGGGCAGTTTAGGTTGGATGTTAGGAAAAACTTGCCTAGGGAGTTTGTAGAATCTCTGTCATTGCTCTTAAAAATCTCCAGGTTAGACAAACACCTGTCAGGGATGGTAGATAATACTTAGTCCTGTCTTGAGTGCAGGGGACTGGACTAGAAGATTTCTCAAGGCCCCTTCCAGTCCTGTGATTCTATGAAAACAACTGGCTCACAGTAGATATCTCAGGTTCCTACTAGGAACATCTCACTACCAATGCAAAGTCCTGGCCACCAGCCTCTCTTCCATACTCAAGTGTTGTCACCAAATGTCTGATGATAGTTGCAGCTCATCTAAGATGACAAGGAAGCCAGGAGTATTCTTACCTAACCAACTGGCTAATCAGAACTGCTGGTCAGCTTCTTTCAAGCAATCCTGAAGTTCTCTGCCCCACCAAGTTTCAAAGGCAATAAAGAGAAATCCATACTCACTCAGACTCAGAGCACAGAGTTCATAGGAGCAGTGTTACTCTAGATCAGCGTTACTCTAGATTACCTTCCAGAGGAGAGATTTTAAACAGTAACAAACCTCATGAATCAACTTCAAACCCCCCCCCCCCCCAAGAACACAAGTGAGGCTGCGTTTCAGACTTCTAGGATAAGGTTATAATAGGGTTATTTGCTGTACAGTAGCTGTGGTTCTTTGAGAGATGTTGTCCATGCAGATTCCATGATCCACCCTATTTCCCTGAAACTACTTATATGGTGTTCTGTATTAGAAAAAGAAATGAGGGGCAGTTGTACACACTCTGCCCTTTATGTCTTTGCATGGTGGGGTGGCACAAGGGCACGTTGGTGTAAAAGTGGCCTGAGTGGACACTGCTAGCCTTAAAAAATCTGATGTCATATGCATGAATAAGGTGCATGTATACAACCCTGACCCAATGACAAACCAATAAAAACTAAATACCTTCAGGCCCTATTTGTACATCAAAAAGAAGCAAAAAAGAAATAAATTATTATTTTAATATCTCCTGCAAAGTTAAAAGCCCTCTCCCTAAAGCACAAAGTTATGAAGCACTTTCCAATGTCTGTTTCAGGAAAAACTGCGGCTTGAAAGAAACAGGGAATACAATCAGTATCTCAGAGACAAGGAAGAGTGGAATGAAAGGTTAAGGAAAATAGGAAAGAAAAACACAGAGGTAATACAGATTTTGCTGAAGTCAATTCACTCTGAGAGAACTTAAATAAGGTTAAGAATTTTTCTCAATGTCAGTTGTCTAATTGTTCTGGAGGTTTTACGTGTGATTAGGGTGACCAGACAGCAAGTGTGAAAAATTGGAACGGGGGTGGGGGGTAATAGGAGCCTATATAAGAAAAAGCCCCAAATATCGGGACTGTCCCTATAAAATCGGGACATCTGGTCACCCTACGTGTGATACATTCTAAGTCTCTTCAGAAGAAGAGCAGTAAAGAATTTGTGTTTGCTGATAATATTCCTCCTCAATACTCACCCCTTTTTTCCACAGGAAGATAATTTTAGCAATTATCACTATTCTGGAGCCATTTTTGCTTCTCTGATTAGTCTCTGTCCCCCTAGTACCCTTGTTAGTTTTTTTTTTTTTTTTTTTTTTTAATTGAGAGAAGAGGGGAACTTATTTTAAAGCAAACTGCATCAAGGTACGTGTATAATTAAGTCTTTACTCACCCTTCCCCCTCTTGATGCATGTGGTATCCCTTGTTTAGACTGTAATCTCAGGAATCTATCTTTCAAGTGTTTTTGTGTGTGTGTGTAGGACCTGTCACTATAAAACAATAATAGACAGAGGAAGAATATTTCTTAGTATTTTAGGCTTTCTTTGTCTACAATATCTACAGATATAAAAAATCTACTGTCTAACACAGCACAATAATAAAATATATTTTAAACAAGTGTAAACAATTTAATGTTTTTAACATAATATAGCCACACTGGGTAGATTGACCCCAATTTTGATTTTTTTTTCTGTCAAGTTTGCCTTATTACTGGTGGAAATGGAAAATGTGGCATAAAGTATGACTTCTTACCTAGCATGCTTCCAATGTTAAGGACACAGTTAAATATATAACTAGTTAAATGAATGCAAAAATAAATATAAAGCTATATGTTTTTTAAAAGATATACCCACACCCTTATCCATCCCTTCCAACTAAGTATGTGGTCATGGATAATCTGTGTGTTGCCCTGTAAAGCAGCCTATAAGTTTGGCTCTAAAACATGGTCTTACTGTCCTTACACAGGTTATGTCTACACTAGCACTTTTGTTAGTATAACTTAGGTTGCTCAGGGATGTGAAAAAAACCCCCCCCCCCCCCCCGAGCGATATGAGTTACGCTGGTGTGGACAGCACTGTGTCAGTGGGACATGCTCTCCGGCCGACATAGCTACCATCACTCGTTGGGAGTGGTTTAATTATGTCGACGGGAGAGCTCTCTCAGCATAGAGCGGCTACCCGGGAGATCTTACAGCGGCGCAGCTGCATCTGTACAGCTGTGCTGCTGTAAGGTCTCTAGTGTACACATATCCAAAACTCTCACTGAAGTTGATGGGAGTTTTGGCTAAATAAGATTTCCAAGAGCAAGTTTTATGTTTTTGTGGGATGCTTAAAAGTCTTCAAAGGGTAAAGTTTTAAATTACTTCCCTCCTGGGAGAGGAGCCTCCTGCGTTGGAATCACTTAGGGGCCCTTAGGTACCTTACATGCATTAGAGAGAGAGTGTGTGTATGTGTGCATGTGTAAGTGACCTAATGATATATACACACAGAGTGATTCCATGAACTTGGTAAATGTAAGAAAAAAGACTATTAAGCCTGGTGCCTGGGGAATTCAGCCCATTCTCACACTACAGAAGTCCTTCCTCCAATCAGGTGCAGGCAGTCTGTAAGATTTCCTTGCTGAGCAGGAACACCTTTTTGAGCCTAAATGGCTTCCCTTCTCTTCCTTTTTCTCTGCAAGTAAGTAAAAATATTGCCCACCCTTCCACACAAACACTTTGTGACTAACTGTGCAGGGTCTTTTTCTGATAGTTTTAGTCAGTTTGAGAGTAAAAGGCTAGTTTGTTCTCCAGGCACTAATGATGTGTGAGATCTTTTTCTAGTAGATTTGGAAAAAAGCTGATCATCTTAAACGGGCAGTATGGCACATTTAACTATCAAGTGTTGAATAGCTTGGGTGTATTGTCTCTTTTTATAATGTCTTGCTTTAGTAATCGGATAAAGATCAGCACGAGTCATATCAATGAATAACCCTGGGAGACCATTTCCAGTATCCATCAAAGAGTCTGGTCTGTTGCCATTAAGAAAAAATTGACAGGTTATTCTCTGTACCTTATGTTTGATGTGAGAAATACTGGTTGTTGGCTATCTGCAGTTCTTGTTTGGATAGTGCTGCTGGTGCTAGGTGTGTCCTTTCCTGTGAAACTTAAGTTTTGTGATCTGTGCCATGATGGCTATAGTGCAGTGTTTTTGTGGACTGTCTTTGCAGAACAGTTGAAAGGGACTCGTTTGGTGTTGAAGTTCCCAGGTATATGTGGATTCTGGAAGAAAGATTTTTCTCTTCAAAAGAGGAGTCCTTCTGAGAGCTTTTTGGAGGGTCTCTGTGTGGGTATATTTATAAGTACTTATCCGCCAGTGCATTGGATGAGATTCTAGGATGAGAGTTTAGTTGAGAATTTCTCTCCATCTAAAGAGAGATGGTCACAAAGGCAGCAGCCAGACATCTTTTTATATTGGAATCCATTATCTAGTCCTTGCTGGATTCTGAGAATTATACATGCTGTAAGATAGTGGACAGAACTGAAATTTGCATTGATGCTGCTGAGGCTTCAAAATTCCAACCCATGGTTCTCTAGCTGCCTGTCTCCTGGATCTTTTGAAAGACCCTGCAACAGAATTTACAGCACCCTCATCCAGTGATGACACTGCTTTGTTGTATACTTTGGGTATCTGAAAAGAAGGCATTTTGTCTTTTAGGCTACTGTAGAACCTTGTGTACAGTCTGTGAAGGGGCTGTCTCCTGTTAAGGTGTTCCCATCTTTCCAGGCTGATAATTTCAATCAAATCTATTGAGAGGATCTGAGGATTTTTTTGTGAATTTTCTCTTGGGTCTTGAGAACTCTGCTCACTTTGTTTCCACACTGGAAATATAAATAATCTTCTTGTAGTTGGCACAAAGAATTAGGCAGAAACAACTAGACAGGGTTTCTAGGTCTGATTCCTCCATGTCTGAGCCAGAGGAATTAGAGGAATATGATTCTCTTTAATTTGCTTTTAGGGTTTTTTTCTTATTTGCTATTCCTGAAGCTCTTTTTATTTATCTGGGAGAATGGGAGAAGGAAAGGCAATCCTGGAAAGACATTCCACCCTGTTCAGAAGATTTGGAAGATCTAGAAAGAATCAAAGCAATCTCTAAGAAAACTTTTGGGGTGGGGAGAAAATTTCTTCTTTAAGGTCCTCCTTCCCCTTGTGCTTTGGGAGGTGTATTTTCTTGGGTCTCTGAAGTGTGAGCACATACATGAGGACACGAAGAAAGACTTCAGGGAAATAGTGTGAAGGGGCATCTTGCACCCCAGAGGTTAAAAGGAGGTGGGAGAAAGCTGAGAGTTATTCTTGATAAATTGCTGCTTCTTTGCCCTAACTAAGGGCATCTGCTTCAGAACTGATGGGGCCCTCCATAATCCCTCCAAAGCCACTACTGGAGAAGAGGCAAATTTGCACTGATTTGACAGCCCCAATGGGCAGGCACTTCCTGGAGTTCTGGATTCTCCTGGTGGGGACAGGCTTTGACAGTGCATCTTGTACTGCTTCAATAGAATGGGCCACTGTACTGTGCTGTGGGAGGTCAAGGACTGAGTTTGTCTGATATGTGGTCCAGTTGAGTGTCGGTGCTGCAATCCTTGCCAGCTCTGTCCTGAGTAGCATCTTGGCTGCAGGCAGTCTTGTATTTATTTTGAGGCTTGTCCACCATTTTGTTTGGTGCTGGTAAGGGAAGGCCTCATGCACCACAGCAGAGCGTGGAGATCAGCGTAGCCCCTTTTTCTTAAAGTGACTGAAACTCTTTGAGAGATTTATTTATTCTTATCTATCTGTTGTATTTATATGGACTCCATTAGCGGCTCACTATCTTTAATGTGTTTATCATCTAATACCTCCTCTGAGGTAGAGAAATACTATTATCTGCATTTCATGGATGGGGAACTAAGGTACAGAGAAACTAAGGCTATGTCTACACTATATCATTTACAGCAATGCAGCTGAACCCCTCAAACTGTGAACAACGTAGGTTATACTGAAGTAATTTGTAGTGTAAACATAGCCTTAGTGACTTGCCCAAGGTCAGCGGTGGAGCAAGGAATTGAGCTAATGAGTCACAGTCTAGCTCTCTAACCATTATACCATACTTCCACTTAGTCACAGTTTTTGCAGGGAAAAAATAAAAAGGGTTTTTGAACCCCAAAACCATGTTCTGGTCAGACAAAGGAGTATCACAGACTGCTGGAACCTCAGTGTAATCAGGACATTTGTGCATGTGACAAGATATAAGGGTTAACAAGCACTATGGAGTCCCTCTGCCTTCAAATCGGAAGGTCATTTCATTATCTAAACTGAGTTAATGGGAAGCCTGTTATTGAGGACTGCTGGCCATCCCATTGTCAGTGAAAATAAGTGATCAGATAAGATGAAGAGTATTGTTTTTTCAGGAAAATTTTCCCTAGCATTTAAGTCCCTATTTAAGAGGATTTTTTTAAAATCCTCATTTGGGGAGAGTTTAAAATTAGGAGATTATCATAAATGCAGAATCAAACTATTGCTGAAGCACTGATGGAAAATGTGAATTATACTGAGATGATGAATGAAGGTTATTACTTTCTTTGTAGTTGTATCTTTTAATACTGTTTTTTCTATTAAACAGCATGAGACAGAAAGAAGTAAAAAATCTACTGCTATTACTAGAGTCCAACCAGGACTACGTTCACAAGTACAGCCCTCTTGTGCAGATTCAGAACCTCCAAAGAAAGATGCTTTTACTTCCACGGAAGCTTATGAAGAGCTACTAAATAGGAGGCGACTGGAGGAGGATCGATATCGCAGACTAGACGATGATGCTGAACTAAGAGATAGAATATTGCACAAAAAACTTGATGAAGAACGGGACATTTCCAATAGAAAGCATCACAGGTTTGATAGCAAACCTAATATTTCTCCTAGAAGACATCACAGATTTGATGAGGATCGTCATTTTGATAGAAGACATTACAACTTAGACTATGATCCTGAGATAAATGAGGAAATGGACCCTAGATTTAGATATGAAAGTGACTATGACAAAAAGCCTCTGCGGGTGTTCCATGCTGAAAGGTATTTTTAAATTCAGTTTTCCACTTCTTTTCTTTACTTCCTTAATGCTATTGGTAATGGGGCTGTAGCACTAAAAACGATGAGTTATTCAAGCCATAAGAGGTTATCGTTTAGTGGTACTGAGCATCAGATTTGAAATACTTAGACTCCCTTGAATCATAGATTCAAACTCTAGGAGGGTTGATTCTGTTGTGGATCCTTCTGAGGCTGATGCTTTGAATTCTGTGCAGTGTATTGTGTGTGTATCTTTCAGGTGAGACCTGAGAAGCAGAGTCGTTCCCCCCCCCTTTTTGGGGGGGAGGGGGGGGTGGATGTTAGACCCCCATGGCTTGTTTCCTAAGATTAAGGAAAACTTGACCAAAAATTTCCTTTTCCCTGC